TACGGGAGAAAACAAACTTGTCCTTTCATAGCAAACAAACCATTCTCCAAAGCATTCCAAGTCCTTCGTCTGGGAGCAGCCACATGCTTGCTTTAACGACCCGGGATTAATCCCTTCTCATTAGAACATTAGCCTGCACAAATATTTGGCCGGCTTCGCTGCGGCGAGCCCCGGGGGAGAGCCGAGGGATGGGGAGAGCTGCAGAGTGCTGGGAAGTCAATGAAGTTCCCTTTGGCGGTACAGGGATGGGGATGGAGCTGGGTCGAGCCTTCGGGAAGTGCTGCTTGTCCCCTTGGGCAAGTCCTGCGGAGCAGGGTTGATAGTGCTGACCTGTTTGTTTGCGAGGGGACAGGAGTGAAAGCGGCGAGGAGCTGGTTTAAAACAGGCAGGTGAAACCCTGCCGTGCTCAGCAGCAGCCTCCCAACGGCACAGGAACGGACTCGGCTGCAAACAGTTCTCTGCCTGCTGTTAGCCACCGAGGAAGGAGCTAGAAGCTCTCCTTGGCGAAGCGTCAGCAGCAGAATTGCAAACGATGCGCCCGTTATAGAAACTTTTGAGTACTGGGGACACGCCAAGAAAAGAGCCCAGATTGACTCTGAGCTCTCAGCTGGTGCTCGCAGCGCTTCCACCTCGCAGCAGGAGCAGCGCTGCCTTGACTCTCGCACTGGAGGGGTGCAGGCTGGACACTTGAGCCATCACCCGGGAGAGCCAGGAGGATGCTTCCCAGGATGCTGGGCCCATCCAGGAGCTCCTGCCCCACTCCAGCAGGCTGCTTTGGGTGTGTTTAGATGCGTTGCCACATCCCATCTCTGCACCAAAGGGCCTGGCCAACCTTGGTCCGTATCTTCTCGTGCCATCAGTCACCCTGATTGCAGTGAGATGCTATGGCCTAGCGCAATGAAGAGCTTCGGGCCCAGGGGAGGCAGAGGGACTTCAGGCTCTGATACCATCTTGATCTGTCGATGCTGTGGTTTGCTTCTACAGCAGCTCCTACCTTATAGATTCATGGAATGGTTTGGGTTGGAAGGGACCTTAAGGCTCCTCCAGCTCCAACCCCTGCCATGGGCAGGGACCCCTTCCACTGGAGCAGCTTGCTCCAAGCCCCTGTGTCCAACCTGGCCTTGAGCACTGCCAGGGATGGGGCAGCCACAGCTTCTTCTCTTGGCACGTTCTTCAGGAGCTGTAAAGGATGTGGATGGCATTAGGTCAACTGGAAACCTCGCTTATTCCATTGGTGAGGGGATGCTGTTGCCGTGAGCAATGTAACAGCCCTTGCTCCAGGCAGGAGAAGCAAGGAGCAGTTAGAACAGGGATGGACAAGCTGGGGAGGATCCAATGGACTTCCCAAAACCAACCAAACCCATTTCTATCCTGTGCTGGGGCCTTGCTGGGGCTTTGCCAGTTTTCCTTAGTTTGGGGACTGAATTCCTAAGGCGAGTGGGACCGGCAAAGCTGGGCACCATCCGGCTTCCCTTCACCACCAGGAGAAAGTGCATTTCACACAGAGCTCCTCCATGCCCTGCAGCAGGCATGCCAACGGGATGGGGCTTTGCCCCGGCTCCATCCACAGCCAAGTGCGGGCATTCCCGGTAGGATGCAGCCCCACGGCTGCCCCGGCGCTGCCGAAAACGCTGGGGCTGTGCATGTGTGCTGCTTCCATGTGTGCTGGTTTCCAAGGAAACCACTTGCTCTACATGTGTGTCGCTTAACACCCTATTTGCTTTCATTTGGATAAGTCTTTAATTCCTGTGCAGCCCCGGCTCGGAGGGATCTGTGGAGCTGTGTGTGCATCCTCAGCGCACAAATCCCTCTCCTGCCTGCCTGCCTCCTGCAAAGTCCCTGCCTGCTCGGAGCTAGCTTCCTAAACCTGTGCCTAATTGGAATAGCTGCTTCTTCCTGCAGGAATAATGGGATCTATCGCGGCTGCTTCCCTCTAGAAACAATTAGCAGGGAAAACACGACGCGCTGTCATCTGCCACCGGCTCTGCCGCCTTGGCTCCGTTTCTGGTGTTGAAGCAGGGCAGGATGCCTGAGCCCAGCGATGTGGGGTGCAAAGCTGGGGGGGGAGCAATGGATCCAGCTGCAGCACTGACCCCGTGGGGAAGGCAGCAGCTCGTGGGGATGGTTAAAGGTTGGTTGTGAAAGGCCCGGTGAGAGGAATGGCTGGGAGAGCAGGGAATGGGGACCCTTGGAAGGGGGGACCCATGGAAGGGTGACCTATGTGTGAGCCCAGTGGTGACCCCGTCGGTGTGACACTGGTGGGATGCACTGAGTGGAAAGGGTGACGAGTTGTTGGGGGTGCTTTGCTACCCCTCATTTTCAGCTGTCTTCACCCAAAATGGCTTTTCCTTCCCTCTCCCCCTGCAGTGTAAGATGCTGCCTGTATTTTCTGCTCTAAACCCGCTTTCCTCCTTCCCAAAGCTCCCTGGGGCTGCTTCATGCCTGTAAAGCTGAGCAGCTCCCGTGTCACTCCAGGCTGGCTCCTGTTGGAGCCCTGACAGCAGCTAATGCTGTTAGCCTGTGTCGAGGAGGGATTTCAGCATTAAAATACCCCCAGCACTCCGGCTGCTCCATTGCTTGCAAGGCAAAACCAGCCCAAACCCACCCAACCTGCATCTGGGACGTGGGTCTGAGGGTTTGCCTGGGTTTGGGGGTGATTTGGGGCTGATGGGGGAGATCGGTGCAGCTCTGCTGCTCCATGGGATGCGACAGCACCTAAGCACCGGGGGATTAACTCGGGTCGTGGAGGGCTTTGCTATCTTTAGGTGGAAGGGGAAGGATTGTGGCTCTTAGGGTGGCCTGCAGGTGATGAGAGAGGAAAATCCCTTGGTCCTAGCCCGGCGTGGGGGCACTGACCCCAGCTCCCATCCCTGTGGGGGTCTGGCCTCGCCAGCACCTTTCTAGGCCACAATCTGTCCCGCATTGTGAGCCTGCTGTTAACTTCCCTTGCACTCTATTCTCGTGTTTGCTGTTATTTTTTAACACTTCTTTCCCCCCCCCTTTTTTTTTCCCTTTTTCCCCTCTTTTTCGTGCATGAAAGCACTACCCTCTCCCCAGAGCCTGCCTGGAGCGAAGGCATGGTCTGTACAACTGCAATTATTTCCAAGAACAGATGGAGTGAGGAGCAGAAAGTCTGTTAATAGTAATAGAAATGCTACATGTTAACCTGGACAGCACACGATGACAGTCCCATGACTACACGTTCTGTTCCCACCAGCTGGGCTCCCGAGCAGAGACGAGAGCTTCAGAAGCGCCGCGCTCGGCTCCGCACCCTCCCCAAAGTTAGAGCTCAAATTCCTTCACACTTCCAGCGCGGGGATTTGGGGTTGGTTTGGGCTGCTTCCCCCCCTCCCTTCCTCCTCCTCCTCCTTCCCATTAAGCGCCGGCAAGGAATAATGATGGGTTTTATCCGGGATGCTCGCAGGGATGCAGCTGGGAGGAGCGCGGGGAGGGAGGGGGCAGCTCTGCTCCGAGGTCCTCATGCAGTGGCATCCTCACAACCCCTTTTCCATGAGCGCATCTGTGCGCATCACCCCCCTGAAGTGGCAATCATGGAATGGTTTGGGATGGAAGGGACCTTAAAGCTCCAACCCCTGCCACGGCCAGGGGCACCTTCCACTAGAGCAGGGTGTTCCAAGCCCCATCCAGCCTGCCTTTGAGCGCTGGAAGGGATGAAGTGCTGATCCAGGCGGGAATCGGTGCAGCAGGGCAGCAGCTCCCTGCTGGCTGTGCTCCCAGGCAGGGCGCTAGCGTGAGGTTGGGATTTTCTCGGTGGCTGCTGCGAACCCTTTGCTAAATGGGTTGAAATCCTGGTTTTCTGGTTAAACCGGTGCGTGGCGCGGAGGTGGGGGCTGCAGGAGGGGCTGCGCCATGCCCGGCACCGCCGGGCTGCACAGAGAAGGGGCTACAGGGGGTGTGGAGCTCATTGAGCCCCATTTGCTCAACCAGGGCTTGGGAAACGAGGCAATGGGGTTGTCTCAGCCCCTTTCACCAGTCTCGCTGTGAAAATCCCTGCCTGGTGTCACAAGGGACAGGGGGGTTTAGGCACAGAGCCCCGGCTAATTTCAGTGGGAATTGCACGGCTAAATCCTCCAGCCCTTTATGAAACCTCAGCCTCGGGCCGGCTGGAGCGGTGCATGGCACCGCTGGCGAGCTGACAGATGCACCTGGAGGTTTTATTAGGATATAGAGCCCTTAATCTGGGTGCTTGCAGGATAAGCTGGTGCCTGGGGTCCTGCCAAATCCTTTGAGATCAGCAGGTTTTCTATCCACAGCCTCCAGAGGTCACTTCAAACCCAGCTCCATCCTCAAGGGACTGAAATATCCACCTTGTCTCATAGCACTGGTGGCACCTTTGGGGGCTGGACACCCTCAGTGGGGACCTGGCGTGGGCTTTGGGGTCTTAACCAGCATCATCTGGGTGTCCCACTCCCTTTGCCCAGTTGCCATTGCCCAGAGAGGTACCTGGGTGCATGATGAGGCAGTGGCTTTGCTTTCTTGCAGCCCCCCTGGAGCATCTTCTGACTAGGTTGGGGTTTGTTAGGTAGAGCTTAACTCCTTGCAACCAACCCCATGGGGACTGGGGTGTCCAGGCTGTCCCCAGCCACCATCCCAGGGCTGGAGCTGCATTTGAACCCTAAAAATACCCCATTCCCCTCTCCAGGGATCACAGCCCTCGGCAGAAATCCCCTGTGCTGTGGTGCATCACTGCCCTGCGCCTCTGTAGGATGCGGTTAGAGGATGGATGGCAGGGGATGAAGTCCTCTTTGGTGCCTTTTATTTGGAGGTAGCAGAAACCTGCCCTGGTCTTCCTCTGTTTGAAGAGGTTTTGATCATCTTGAATGGGTTTGTGAGCCTTGTGTTTGTTCCCCTGGTGCACGTTCATCGCTCGCCTTCTGACCGTAGCCTCATGGAGTGGTTTACGTTGGAAGGGGCCTTGCTCCCAGGGTGCGTGCTCCCAGTACCACATCCCATGCTCACAGCTCTCTCCTCTCTTGCAGAGCAAGAAGTACGTGCTGATGCTGGTGGACCCCGACGTTCCCAGCCGAGCCAACCCCAGGAGCCGCTTCTGGAGGCACTGGTTGGTCACCGACATCCCAGTGAGTGCCCCCCGCCGGGTCCATGTGTTGGGGTCCCAGCAGCTCGGGGCATTCCCAAGCTCTGGGGTGCGTTGTGTGCGGTTGGTTTCCCATGGGATGCGTGCTCTGTCGGCACGGAGGCATCTTGGTGAGATCCCAAAGGATGAGAAATGTAAATGGTGCTCGGCGTGTAGGTAGGGGAGTGCTTCCTCAGGCTATATAGAGCAAAACTGGTCCAAAAATATTGCTGCTTGGGTTTGTTCCCTCCTTCTTCTTCCTCTTCTAAGGAAATGCTGAAAAAACACTGCTTTGAAAGCTCCCCACCACCGCTTTGCTCTGCAGACACCGGCGTTTCAACCACCTCTTGCGCCGCTTTGGTTTTGGGGTGGAGAAAAGCAGTTTTGGTGAACGTGGTGCCAGATTTCCCCTTTCTGGGGGGTGAGAAAAGCATTTCCAAGCCGGGGAAGCGAAGAGGGGGGAAATGGGTTTGGGCTGAATTCCTGCTGCATCCCGGTTCTAACATCCCGGTGTCTGGGGGCCAGACAGACAGGATCTCACTGCTTGGCTTCCCGAAAGCTTTTGGAAGCTCAGTTTGTTCCTTGGCTGCTTGCTTTTAGCATTGAAGAGATGAGGTGTTCGAGCCCTGTATCAGTCTAGCGAATAATCTTAGTACTAAAGTCTAATTAAGGTATCAATTAATTTGCAGCGTGCATTTAACAAGAAATATCTCGTCATTCTCCTCTATTATTCTCCAAAATTACTGCTAAGGGCTTTTTGTACGGATACCTTCATTAGGCTTTGTATTGTTAATGGCAATATTCAGCAAATTAAAATTGGATATTAATACTTCCCATGCAGTTCATAATTGGCTGAAAAACATAAAGCATCGGGAAGAATTGCAGAGATTTGTGTACAGGGTCTGGGGGGGTTTATCCCTTAAATCCTTCACAGGAACCTTCTGCATTGCTAACAGCAGGGTCCTGAAAGTCTCTCATTAATTCTAATATTTACTCAATGCAAAGAAGCCCAAGCTCTTGGTTTCCTTTCTGTACACAGGTCCTTGCGAGGCAGTCGCTATGGCCAGTTCTTATGGGTTTCTTTGCTTTTCAGTTGAGTATAAGATCATTGAAGAAGGGAAATGAGGGATTCAAACCGGTTCTCCGGTGCTAATGGAAGGGTTTTTTTTCTCCCCTGGCATCTGGGTGGTTGAGTTTGAAGTATAAAAGGTAGGAAAGCTCCTTGCTGGGTCATGCACAAGAGGGAAAAAGGGGGTTTGGGGGAAGGAGGAGGATTTTCCCACCTCCAGGTGCCTTGTCTCTGGCAGGTCCGGGGCTGACCCCAACCCCAACAATTCCCTAACATTTCCTATCATGATATAGAGATATATATGTAAGCAGGGGTTGGACTTGATGATTCTTATGGGTCCCTTCCAACTTGAGATATTCTATGCTTCTACCATATATTGTATATTAAATATAGAGATGGTATATAAAAATATAGATAATGATATATATATCCCACATATAGTGTGTATATATATCTCTCTCACGTATCCGCACACATATATGCATATAAATCTCCTTTGCACCCCAAGAGACCCCCAATCCCAGCATCACCCTCGCAGGGCACCAGGACAGAGCCACCTTGCCCCAGCCCTGTGCTCGGTCCTCACTGTCCGGGACGCAGAGAGGGGGGTCCCAGCATCCTCCCCCCGGATCATTCCCAAATCTCTTCCGCGATGCCGTCGGCTCCCTGGGCTCAGACACATGGTGTCTCGTTGAAATGCAGATCGTTGGGGGGTATATGGAAGTCTTGGCTCCGAGGAGCTTCAGCTGACAGGCTTATTTGCACACTGGCTCTAAAATAACCGTGTAGGCTTTACATGACACCTTCTGTTGCTTTGGTGCAGAGAAGGGCTTGCAAGTGCCTTTCTCCAGGAGGGACGGGGCAGCCGGCGTGATGGCTGGGGGCTGTGAAAGCATCCCATCACCCCAGCATCACCCAGGCTTTGGCGTCCCCCAGGTTGGAGGGAAGCAGCCCTAAACCCCATTCTAGGTGCTGCAGTATGTGGGCACGTCCCCAGGGTTAGGTTTGGGCTCTCAATTTGCTTGCCCAGGTGGGTTTTGGGGGATGGAGCATCCCCATCCCAGGGGTGCCGCTCGCAGTTCCTTACCCGCCGCTGCTCCGATTGTCAAACGCAGGAGATGCTTTCACTCCCATTCAAAATAATTTAAATAAAAATGTTGCTACAAAGTGGAATAATATCTTTTGATGAATGTTTTTAAAGCCCTTTAGGTTTTCATGGTAATTTGCAGTGTAAAATTATTTAGAGATAAGAGCCAAATTAGCTCTTATAGGCGGAGGTCGATATGTCCCGTTATCCATGCAAGCAGTGTTTAAATATAATCAGCCTTTACTCTAATGCAGCATAATTGTTCATTTGAAATAGCTTTTTTATTTTTTTTACTTCTCTTTTTTTTTTTACTCCATTCAATGAGTCATTAAAATATTCAAAGGATAATGCAGTGAATTGGAAATGAATTTATCACATTATCCTGTATATACTGTAGAGCATCAGGTAACCAGGCAGAGTCGGAACCAGTTTACAGAGCAATCCAGTAAACAAGGCTTTCCATTTTGTATTCAGCGGGGGAAAGAGAAAAGAAGGGAGAAAATACTGCCCTTCAAATGGAAAGCTTTCCGTCTTTATTCCCCCTCCTCGGGGAGGAGGAAGGGGGAGGGAGAGCAGCGAATTTGTACTCCACTAAAGCCTCGCTGCTTTAACTTTATTTTTATCAAAATATGTTTGTAACAGAAAGTCGTTATGGAAACCAGTTCTGCCAGCCGGGAGGAACCCGGCGCCAGGCTGGAGCTGAGCGGGACCAGGCACCGCGGGATGGGGAGACTGGTGCTGGTTCAGCCTGGAGAAGAGAAGGCTCCGTAAGGGGAGACCTCAGAGCAGCTCCGGTGCCTGAAGGGGCTGCAGGAAACCTGGAGAGGGGCTTGGGACAAGGGCCTGTAGGGACAGGCCAAGGGGAATGGCTTTAACCTGCCAGAGGGGAGACTGAGATGAGCTCTGAGGCAGAAGCTCTTCCCTGTGAGGGTGCTGAGGCGCTGGCACAGGGTGCCCAGAGAAGCTGTGGCTGCCCCATCCCTGGCAGCGCTCAAGGCCAGGCTGGACACAGGGGCTTGGAGCAAGCTGCTCCAGTGGAAGGGGTCCCTGCCCGTGGCAGGGGTTGGAACTGGGTGAGCTTTAAGGTCCCTTCAACCCAAACCATTCCATGATTCCAAGTGTGTCGGGTATGGTTGTAGTAGAGCTATTCCCACCCCATCACCATGGCACTGAACATCTCCCCCCGCAGTGCGTGCACTGCTCTTGCTCCCATGGCTTTGCAGAGCACGGTGGGTTTCCCTTGGGTGCTGGACCTGTGCAGGTGGGTGCTGGGGGCCCAGAGCATCCCTGCTCGGCTCCAAAGGTCCCGGCAGCACCAGCATCTTCGCCTGCTCCTGTGGTTGCATTTGTCAGCGTCTCTCCTCGCCGGCTGATAAACAGGCTCCGGGTTGCAAGTGTCACCATAGAAACAGGTGCTATCTTAAGCAAACAAGGGCTTTATTAACCTTAAAAGTTAGAGGCTTTTTGCACGATTAGAGCCTGGGGAGGGGGCTCCGGGAGGCCGGCTGCTCTCCCAGGCACTTGGCCCCAGTGCGCATCCCTGGCCCCGTCCCAAGGGGACACCGGTGCTCCAGAGCTAACTTTCCCCCCCTCGTAGTGTGTTTGTGCAGCGCATGGTTTGGGAGTCAAGTGTCTGCAGTGTGCTTGGATTTAGTAAAAATAACAGAGAGCAGCTGATAATTGCTGGCTACCGTCATCTGCTCCTACGGCTGCGCTGGGGGGGCTTTGGCAGAGCACTTGTGATCCAGGAGCATTCAGCATCCCCGCAGCACCAGCTCTGGCAGTGAGGAGAGAACTCGTGTGGGGCAGGGGATGCTTTTTAGTGGGTGAATCGATGCCAGTGGGGAAGAGAAGCAGCTTTGGGTATCCTGCGGGCAGGAGGGATCCTCATTTGGGGGACCCTGGAGCACCGGGGCAGGTTTCCCGTCCAGCATCCGCGGTCCCCATGTCCCTGGGTCACTGGCTGGCCTGTTGGCACCACAGGATCAGCAATCCAGTGGGATCTGCTGCCCTGCATCCAGGGCAGATGTAATAGTGCTGGGGTGTTGCTCCTCCACGCTGCTCTCTCAACTCTGCTGTTTGGTGGTTGAACCGAGGGTTTGAAAGGGAAAGAACAGAGAGAAACATTGGTTTAATTGATGACTTGGATCCTTGGAATAGTCTGTTCCCTGGTGAGAGTTTCTGTTGCTGCCGGTTAATGAAGCCTTTATCAAGGAGAAACTGAAGAAGCAGAAGAGGCTGCTGCTTGAGTGTAGTTTTCTTTGCTCTTCAAGCTGCTGTGGTCCTCCAGAGGCACATGGCAAGGCCATGTCCCCCCAGAACACCTCACCCCGGCAGTGGTGGGAGCCTTGGCACTGCTGCCTTTGCCAGGCCCTGGTGCCAGCCCTTGTGCCCGTGTGTCCCTGATGAGTTTTGTGTTGGACAGGTTTTCCGTGAGCAGTATCCCAAGTTGAGTGTCACCTGCTATTATTCATGCTCGGCAAACAGATGGGGTTTAATTGCTGTTAGTATCAGGCTCTCAGCAAATATCACATGAAGAGGTCTCTTTGGCTAATTGTTTTAAGATAAGGGTTCACAAGCGATGTACAGAAATCACAGATGTGCTTTAGAGAGCAAAGTGCTCGTATTGCCTTTAAACATGGTCTTCAGGCAACAGCAGCAGGATCAGGGAGTGACTGCATGCTGCAAAACCACCCCAGGCCCAGGGCGAGCAGGAGGTGATGAAAGTCTCTTTGCACAAGTGCATTGGTTGCACCAACACATCTGCTTGCACAAGAGTGTGGCTTTGCATAAACACCTCTGTTTGCACAAGGCCGAGTTGGCCGCTGTGCTTCAGCCTCTTCACTGC